GGGGGGGGGGCACGAGATTTCTGGGGGGGGGGCAGGCCCACCCCAGGACCCCCTAGTTACGCCCATGAGGATCTCGTTTCCAGACGCCCTAGAAGCTATCACAGTTCAAAAATTCCTAATTTTGAACCCGAATGGAACGATTCCACTTCATCACAATCTTTACATTTGGCCCATAGAGCGTTAGAAAAAGGGTACGCGAACACAATCGTACAGGAAAAATAATGGAGGGTATGGATTCGATCGACATGAATCGATCGAAAAATGAAAACGTGAATCGATCGACATGAATCGATCGACACCGATTCGATCGACAAATTGTTAAAAAACCGGTGTCGATTCGATCGACATGCATTTACGAGCCACAAAAACAGCCTAACTTGACTTTTTCAGCGCCTTGACTCGAAATTCCCGCCAAAAAGGCGAAAAATCGCATTTTCTCAAAAACGGCCCCATCACAGATTTCGCGGTTTGTTGTTCCTCAATCAGTAGGCCTTCTGGTTGACATTTCCGCAAAAATATCGCGGGTGGTATGTTGACCGCATTAAAAGTGTTAAAAACGTACCGTACGCACTGCACACTGTATTATATTTGCACTACATATACGCAATACCGAGGAAGTATAACAATTTTAATTTGAATAATAGTCCGTGATTTTTTTGGAGGGTATGGATTCGATCGACATGAATCGATCGAAAAATGAAAACGTGAATCGATCGACGTGAATCGATCGACACCGATTCGATCGACAAATTGTTAAAAAACCGGTGTCGATTCGATCGACATGAATCGATCGAAAAATGAAAACGTGAATCGATCGACACCGATTCGATCGACAAATTATTAAAAAACCGGTGTCGATTCGATCGACATGAATCGATCGAAAAATGAAAACGTGAATCGATCGACATGAATCGATCGACACCGATTCGATCGACAGTTAATTCAAAAACACCCGGATCGATTCGATCGACATGAATGGATCGAAAAATCAAAACGTGAATCGATCGACACCGATTCGATCGACAAAATTCGATCGACTCACGGATTTGTCGATCCATTCACGGGTTTGTCGATCGATTCACGGGTTTGTCGATCGACTCACGGGCTTGTCGATCCATTCACGGGGTTTGTTGATCCATTCACGGTTATCGATCGAATCGGTGTCGATCGATTCACGTCGATCGATTCACGTTTTGATTTTTCGATCCATTCATGTCGATCAAATCGATCCGGGTGTTTTTGAATTAACTGTCGATCGAATCGGTGTCGATCGATTTATGTCGATCGATTCACGTTTTCATTTTTCGATCGATTCATGTCGATCGAATCGACACCGGTTTTTTAATAATTTGTCGATCGAATCGGTGTCGATCGATTCACGTTTTCATTTTTCGATCGATTCATGTCGATCGAATCGACACCGGTTTTTTAACAATTTGTCGATCGAATCGGTGTCGATCGATTCACGTCGATCGATTCACGTTTTCATTTTTCGATCGATTGATATCAGCCTGAATTAGTCTGACTCAGGGTAGTTAATGAAACATAGGCTGACGTCAGGTTGATTCAATTTTACTAGGGATGTCACGTAAACATTTAAAAAATTCACCCTCCTGCCTTTCAAATCTGGCCGCCATCTTGGCATTTGGAGTTATCCCTTTGACTTGGGTGCTTTTATGATTTCATAAATGAAATCTACGACCAAAATTACATAAGAAATGGTACCTCACTTGCCTTATTATCACGCGAACTTTTTAAAAATCCACCCTCTTGTCTTTCAAAATTGGCTGCCATCTTGTATTTGTGGTACTCCCTTTTGACCGGGGGACTTTTTTGACTTCGTATCTGAAATCTACGACCGAAATTACATTGGAATTGACTCCTCTTATGACACTGTATGCGTATTTTAAAAAAAAAAATCGAACTCCCAGAGGCCTTATTATGGCCGCTTTTTTGAACTTTTGGCCATTTGGGGGAAGTTCCGGGATCGAACCGTGGTAATTTTTTGATATATTGTTCAATAGGACCTCCTGAAGACGTTGACATGGGATAAGTATGTTAAGCAATTTGTTCCGGGTTAACCCTCTTTTTTTCGGATTTCTCCTCGACTAACCCCCCAAAAACCCAAAAGTCGTGGATTTAAGGATAAGAATTTTGGGCAATATGCACGAGTAGCTATATACTGGCACTTGATTGACTAAAAATGTATAGGATATGCATTTACGAGCCACAAAAACAGCCTAACTTGACTTTTTCAGCGCCTTGACTCGAAATTCCCGCCAAAAAGGCGAAAAATCGCATTTTCTCAAAAACGGCCCCATCACAGATTTCGCGGTTTGTTGTTCCTCAATCAGTAGGCCTTCTGGTTGACATTTCCGCAAAAATATCGCGGGTGGTATGTTGACCGCATTAAAAGTGTTTAAAACGTACCGACGTACCGTGCGTGCATGTAATCTCAATATTATAACATACATTGTATTTACATATTCAAACAAATTGTTTTAATTAAAATTAGTCCTAGAATAATAAAATAAAAAAATAAACGAATGAAATAAATATTCATTTCAAATAAAATTAGATATAGCTAACAAACGAAGGTGTTACTGAAGAGATGATAATGAATCTGCAGCAGAATTGACCGGGCCCTGGAATCCCACCTACAGCACAGTCTTGTTCTCAAAGTACGTGCGTAACCATTTCACTGTCGGTTATAACGACTATCGGCTATAACGACCGAATAAGGCCGATCCCTTCAAGGTCGTTATATCTGATATCCACTGTGTAAATATTTGCATGATACAATTGCTAATCCTGCACTACTTTTTCGTCTGATAGGCAGAAAAACGCTATAAAATATAGAGGCCCCACAGAGCAAACAAACTTGATGTTAACCTTGTGTAACTAAAGCAGACAATATTTGCAGCACCACGCATAAGAAAAACGTTTCGTAATAGAGAGGTTACATTATT